TTTCTGCTTGATCCTCAACTTGCATTTTATTGTTTTTTTTGGCCTTCTTTTTCTTTTTAGGTACTTCCCACCCATCACTATCTTTTCTTTCATCAAGGGCTGCACTTTTCCTCTTCTTAGACACGGCTTTTACTGAAAGGCTACCTGATCCAGGAATTCTTTCCAGAACAGCAACAAAAAACCCATTGGTTTTGTCTTTCTCTTTATCCGCCACTAAACAATTAGATCCAAAGGGATACTCAGGACTTCCTCTGCGATCCCAAGGCTTCTTCAGCTGTGGTGGGACAACCTGAAACGACTGTACTCTGCTCAGAGCTTTTGCCAAAACTTGTTCATTTTCTTCTATGAAAAGAGAACAAGTGCTATAAACAATACGCTCCACATCTGGAAAAGCAGTCATTGCTTGAACTAGCAGACGCTCTTGAAATGTACTGAGTGATTGTAATCTTCCTGAGGGCATACCTTCTTTTGGACTTCGAGACTCAACTCTTGAAGCCATTCCTACATAACAGAAATGAAAAGTGTGAACTCATCAATCTCCACTTCACTTATATTGCGATCTCAATTTCAAACACAACAAAGGATTAAGAAGAAGCCACTTGCTTTCACAATTCACATTCTTAATAATTAACCTTTCTGTAGTTTCATTGGAGTTTATTGTTACTTGTCAACATGATATTATTTGGAATTAATGGTAATATTGGTGCATGCCTCTATCAAGCAGTTTTTTTTTATCAAACACATTTTTACTTTGTCACTACTATTTACGTAGTACAGAGTAAGAATTGCAATGTCGAAAAAAAAAAAAAAATGTTTCATAGAAAATTTTATAAAGCAGAGCCCTGGTAACAATGTGTCCAAACAAAGTAAATTACGTCCTCTAACACAGTGGCATTCAGGATCCATGTTTAGTGGGTCCTTGATACTGAAAAATCGATTGATGGCAGAACATCAGCTAAACCATTAGCAGTATTTTCACTGAAAATTATATTCTGCAATTGATCTGGCCAATGTCACCTGGCCAATGACCCCTTGAATTTGAAACCAACATTTTAAGAGTAGAGGGGACTTTAAATAAAGCCTTGGGAAGTTTTTCAAATTAGTAGTAGTAGTAGTAGTAGTAGTAATAATAATAATAATAATAATAATAATAATAATAATAATAATAATAATAATAATAATAAATTGACCTCAGATAGCATAAAGGATTCATTTTCGTTAAAATCCCTGATGTTTTAAAATTTGAAAAAAATCAAATTTTTATTCAGGGTCTTCCTAAAACTACGATGAAGATACCTTTTTTTATTAATGAAGTGTGACAATCAAAACAAAATCTACAAATTCAGGTAAACATGAGTATTTTTTATGAAATTTTGTGTAAAACATGCACAATTTTTAAATTTTAAATAATTATATTCTTAGAAACGGTTCTAATTTTTTTCTTTAAATTTTAAAATGTGTGTAGCAAAGAATGGTAAAGAAAGTGACGCTGGCCCTAATTTTCGGCGTACGCTCTATATTTGAAAACTGTAAATGAAAATGGTAAATTCGAATTTCCGCACTGTTTGCAAAATAGCAAAGGTGGTGGTTTCAAATTATGGGAGAGTGCGCCAGCTGTATAGTTGTGTATCGATAAAATTCTTATGAAAGGAAACGAATTTAAAGAAAGTATTATATTTCCCGTAGAACTAATGAATATGTCCCTTTTATTTAGTAAGTTTTACAGCTAATTATGGTATTCAGAAATTATTAGCTGCTTTTGATGTAATCAAAGTATATGATGAAATATTATTCTTCCTTTTCTGCATAATGAGCTGCAAATACTTTAACAGTTAAATTATTTTGTTTATTTCGTTTTGTATAAGTTAGAAATTACTACTGTTCTTGGCTATACAAATAAACGCAGAAATGCACCACAGATGATTTGTTTGAATTGGTCAAGTTCGACTTTTTCAAATTCTCAAAGCTTTCATTTCTCTTTAATGCATGCTTTCCTCTCAAAAAGAGAAAATTAAATATTTCATGGAAAAACAATACTTGGATCACACAAGGAATTAGAACATTGTGTAAAAAGAAACGTACATTTCACTTTATTTCTAAACATCATGACGTATCACCCTGGTTCCATGTCTACTTCCGGGAACTCAAAAGAATTTTAAGGGAAGTAATAGTTCAGGCAAAAGTAATCAGGATATTTTGAATGCTAGTTACGAAACTAAAGCAATGTGGAATATTGTAAAAAATTCCACCACGTCATATCGGTACTTAGTAGAGAATGTTGTTTGAAAGGATAATGAAAGGGAAGTTACTAATTCAGAAAAAGTGGCTAACCTCTTCAACGAACACTTTTCTAGAATTGTGGCTGAACTCACCAAGTGACTTCCTTACCGGACTTACGACATACTTAACAGTGGGGACATATTTTCATGCAAAACTGATAACACATGTAGATATCAGGTTCATCACGTGTCAGTATCAACAGCTCACCATCAAAAAATCCACATACAATACATTTGCACTTTACAACGCACAGCCAGATGACATTAAACAATTGAAGTCGATTCACAAATTTAAGTTAAAAGTAAAATCTTTTCTGCTGCATAACTGTTTCTATACTATTAGAGACTATACTGATCATCAAAAAGAAAAATAATGTGTTTTTTAGGAAAACAGTAACATATAATGAATTAGTTTCCATTTGTATAGTATAATTAAAAAAAACAACTTAATATGCTTATAACAAGTAATGGACTTCATCCATTGTTATAACGATGGATGGATTTTTAAACTCAAGAAAACGTGCGTAGATGATCTTCTCCCCCGTACATCACATACAGTTATTACCGTTTTTTTGGACTAAATAAATCTAAATTATAACATTTAGAAACCAATTGTCTATAAATAAACATATGGACACTATAGTGGCACCCAAGATAAGCGAAACATGAATAATTAATTAATTGAGTACTCACACTCCAGTACTTCTAATAAAACTAGTGGGGCTAAAACAGCATGTACTTTCTTGTCCAGTAATAGTTAAACAATACTATTTATACCACAATTTCTCTCACATTTAACACATCTCAGTCATAATTTTTTGTAATACTTGTTACAAATCGTAACATACCCAAATTTGACAAAGATAACTGACAAGAGACATATAATTCACAGAACAATGGTGGAAATATGGTGGAACTTCAGGTGCCGTCTCGCAGTGCGGAATTCTATAGCTGCATTTCAAGCTAATGTTTCATGAAGGCTGGCAAGTTTTCTTTCATATTACATTTAAATCTTATTTTTTAAGAGAGAAAACCTAATTTGGCTAATTTTAATTAAAGATTGCAGATGGCTTGAAAGAAAATACATCAATACATTGAGAATGCAAATACATTCCTTGCAACATGGACAAAAAACTACGGATTATCACATAATTTTAAATAATTTCCAAAATATTAATTTGTAAATGTATAACAAAAGCTCCAATGTAAGAAATGAACAATGAAATACTATACAAATTCTAACTTAGCATCGAAACACCTACAATTACGACCAAGAAGCTAGTATTTTCTGAGTGGTTAAATACCTTTGATACCCAATTACACCAGAAATGCTCAAAGTTTTGAAAAATTCAACATGACCTTGTTTGAAAATCTGTTTTTGATGAACACACTTCATTAAGTAATAAATAGTATCTTCATAATTGTAGTTGCAGAAAGACACTGATTTTTATTCAATGTTTGTCATCTTCAAAAATTTTCAACGAAAATGGCACCTGCACAATTTTGTTAAGTATCCTATATGCTATCCAAGGTCAAAATTTAATCAACATTGTTGAAGCTGTTTTTGGGGAGAAATTGTCCATACATTATTTAAAATTGACCATATTTCACACAAAATTACAAGAAAAAGCACTGAAATTTTCGAAAATAGTACATACTCTTATTTCAAACTCCATCTTCAAGCAACAGATAGGGTTAAAAAAGTCTCATCTTCATAATTGTAGCTGCAGGAAGACAGCATAAAATTTTGAATTTTTGCAATGTTGAAAAATCAAGAGTTTTTAATGAAAACGAGTCATGTGCCACTTTCTTAAACATCCTCCACACTATTCCACAACAAAATTTAATAAAGAAACTCGGAATCCATGATTTTGAATTGTGCCAGCGGCTTCATATAAAGTTCCTCTCAAAATTAAAATATTGGTTTCAAATTCAAGGGGCTGCGACACCAGTCTGATCATTTGTGGAATATCCAGTTTGGAGAAATTTGGCGGTATGGTTTAGCTGCTACTGTTATTCACAGACAGACGTTTTGTCGTCATTCGATTTTTTAGTATCAAGGACCTATAAAACATGGATACTAATTACAACACATGATACAGGATTTTTTCAAAATAACTTTTGTAACTGGATTTATCCACTTTTTCGTTACCAGGGCCCTATAATAAGAGTTTCTTCTGCCGAAAATTCGACGTTTTATCGCACAGAATTACATAACTTACTCTCTACTGCTTAAGCGGCAGCGAGAAAGTAAAACTTGTATGGAGCAATACACCAACAACAAACATTATGAACTTTGGAACTGGAATACAACATTTTTAACATTAATTTAATATTATTTACTCAGCTCCTGTTTATAAATGAAGCAAATTAACTTTTAACACAACAGCAATAAGGCAATTATATTTAAGAAATGCCTTCTTTCTCCTAACTTTATTCAAAGGAAAATCTTTCAGAAGACATGCCATGTTCATATTTGACAGCCTTTATACAAGGTAGAAATTCCAGTAAAAAATGGGAACTCACTTCCAATATAAATGAAAAAATTGACACCTCCTATGATATGCTGATACAAAGAATCAGTCTGGCTCACCTGATCAGTAAACAGAAATTGGATTGAATGACTTGCCGGACACAACAACAATGGTTGTCCCAGAATAAAAATGGAGATCAAAAAGAGACTCACCAGATCCTGAACATGAGGGATCTATCAAAATATACTGCACTCCAGGGCAATCTTCAGAAGTGAGTCGAACAGAATCTGCAAGTTTCGTTGTGACACAATTATGTTTCCCGCAATTTCGTTCCACCATTTCTTGCATTCTATAAAATCTTTTAGGGTCCTTATCAACAGCAAAGAGAGTACTGAAAGAAAGAAAACCAAAATTAGAATATTTGAACTTAAGATCTAGCAGAAATTGTAGATTTAGCAATTTACAATATTGATTAGGATTTAAATTTTGTAATTCAATAATCAAGAAATTAATTTATTGTATAACAAGAGCAGCACATATTGACAGCCAACAAATTGCAGATAAACATTGGGAATTTTTAATACTAGCCTAAAATAGCAACGAGAAGAATTTGAGTACTAGTACTATTTCTTATGACTTGGTAAAAAAAATAGACTTTTAGTAAACAAAAGTTCTCATCACATTGAAGAGTCTACCAATATTTCAGTACTTTCTTACAAAATAAATTAATATTTCTTCACTGAATTTGGTCTTCTTCTTCTTCTCCATTTCAGGGATTAGGCAGAAGTGCCTGTTCCGACTTCGCTCTGCACATCA